GGCTGGCGGCGCAGTGCGGCCGAGGCCGGGCTGGACCGCGGGACGCTCGGCCGCCGCCATTGGCTCACGCTGCCGGCCCCCGCCGGCCCCCGCCGCTACCCATTGGCCGCAGCGCTGCACCATTGTTACGTCACGGGACAGCGGGCGGGGCGCGCCGCGGGACCCGCGGAAAACTTCGGAGAAACTTGAGGGGGAGCGGAGGAGGGGGGAGCCTTGGAGCCGGGCCTGGGCGTGTTCGGGGCGGGGTCAGGGCGGGGCCGTTCGAAGCGGGGCCTGGGGTCAGGGCGGGGGCGGGGCGAGTCTGGACCTGGCGCCCGGACCCGGGTCAGGGCTGTCCGCGCTCTGTGAGGGGTGTCCGCGTCCTGTGAGTCTGCGCACACTCATAGGCGCCCTGGACTGTGTCAGCTCGGGCTGGATTCGTATTCTAGGTCACCCTTGCCCTGACCCTCTGTGACCTTGGGGAAACGTCCAGCTGGTGTCCCATCCGTTCGTGGGAAGGCTTAAGGTAAGGGTTCGCGCGTGTGCTGCCTGGCCAGGGCCTTGGCATGGCGCGCCCCTGCTGCCAGCTGACTCCCAGGAAAGGAATGAATGGGTAGATGGATGAGAGCTATTTATGGGCACCTAATGTGTGTCCTGTTCCAACCACATCATTTCACTTCTTCATCACAAGCACCGGACAGGTTTTATAACCCCCTACCCAGTTCTGTCACCAGGAAATCAGACCAAGAGGGAAGTGGTGTCAAAGGAGGTACACCTCGAATGGAACTGGCATTTGTCAGGCTGTTCTTCAGACACTTGGGCCTGCCACCCAACCTCCCCACAAGGAGCCTGGGGCTTATTGTCCTGCCCTGTGAGATTCAGGAATCCAAAGTCCATTCCAAAAGTACCAATTAATGCAGTCACTTTTAGGTCTTGAGTCTCCACCCCACATTCTGGGACCAAGATCACCCTGGTGAAATAGCTGCAAATACCATGCCCAGGGAATTCCAACTTCTCTTCCCAGAATGCCCTAGCACCTCAACCAGGGGCCAAGGATGCAGCCTTCATCCAGGCCCTTCCTCCTGCCTCCATCCAGCAGAGAGCCAGTCCCCTCCCCAGAACTATGGCACCACATACCACACACACACACACACACACACACACACACACACACACACACTACCACCACCACCACCACCACCACCACACAGAGCAAGCCTGCACACACAGCCCTCAGCCCTATCTTGGCTCCTCTGTGCCTCCCAGCACCTGAGGGCCTTGCCTAAGCTGATGTCCCACCTGTGCCCTCTGAGCAGATTCAAGCAGACTGTGTAGAGCTCCAGACAGGCTCATGTTCTTATATACATGCACGCCCTTGTGGGGGTTTCCTGTAGCCATGTGCCCTGGAAGGCCAAATAGGCAACCCCAGGAGGTAGATAAGGAAACCCAAAAAGGGGACAGCCAGGGATGCAGGCATTCCTATGACCTAGGCCCCTAAACATGTATACACTAGTCTGCCTGCTGAGATGCCCAGCAGCCCTGCCCCACCTTGATGCAGTATTACCTTGTAGACTAAACCAACTCCTAGCAGATCAGTGGCAGCACCAGGTTCCCAAGTGGCCAGTGATGGCCAGGGGTAGGAGTGACAGAGAGAGCACTAGGCTAGGAACCCAAGCCCTGCCCTTGGTGGGTCTCAGCTTTCACTTCCTCTGGTTTCTCCACACTTCCTTGTTCTGGAGGTCTGAATGTGGTGGGGGTGATGCAAAGTGAATGGCCTTTGGGAGCCCTGAGCGAGCCCCTTTGGAACATCCTAGGGAGGAGGTCCGGGGTGGGGTGGGGGGCTTCCTGAAGCTCATCACCTGTGTCCCTGCCCCATTCTTTTCCAGGCCTTGAGATGAGACCACTGTTTCTATAGCAGCAGTGGAATGAGGGTAAAAGGGCACAGGCTACAAAGGCCAGGCTGCACTTGGCTTCCGGCAGGCCTTAAAGACCCCTCCATGTTGTGCTCTGACTTGTTCTCCTGGCTGGGGTTCCCAGAGGACTCTTTCTAAAAGCCAAGCCTGGCTCCACTTTTCAACTACTCAGAAGCATTGTGTGGACAGGGACTTAGCTAGCAAATCCAGGTGGGTGACTGAAAGGCACTTGTGGCAGAGGGCACAGGAGGACTGAGCTAGAGAATGGTGGGAGAGGGCGCGGGGGTCACGAGCCACAGCTGGCAACCCATGAGCCTTACCTACTGAGGCAGGAGCTTGGGTGTGTGCTGTGGATTTGAGGTGGAGGTAGAGAGCTTTGGAAGGTATTTGGCTAGGAATTAGTTCAGGGATACATGCACAAATAGTACTAGCTGCCTGGCAGCCCATGATCCAATGTAAGAAATAGCAGGCAGGCCAGCGTGGTGGCCCAGCATTCAAGAGACTGAGGCAGGTGGAGTTCAAAGTTATCCTGGGCTACATAATGATTTCCAGGCCATCCTGAGCTACACAAAGAAACAGCAGACTAGAAAACCTGAAAGCCAGCATGCCTGCCCTTCTGCCACCCAGACCCATTCCCTGTCTCATAGGTCTTTGGTGGCAGCTGACCTTCTAACTGTATCATGGCACTAGACAGCCCCTACCCTCAGCAGCGTGTCTTTCCCCCAAGATCATGGCTTAAAAATCCCCTGGGGTTCATGTGTTGGAAGCTGATTCCCCAGTGTAACTGTGTTGTGAGGTGGTGAGGTCAGGAAGCCTCTGCCTCAAGAACACTGAGGAGTTCCACACCTTCTCCCCCCTTCTTTCCCTCCCTCCCTTCATCTCCCTGCCTCCCAGCCCACACTGTAAGTAGTACATCAGCCGGGCGTGGTGGCACACGCCTTTAATCTGCATGCAGGAATCAGAGACAGGCAGATCTCTGTGAGTTCAAGGCCAGCTGGGGCTACAGGGAGACCCTGTCTCCAAAAGAGCAAAAAGAGGGGCTGGAGAGATGGCTCAGCAGTTAAGAGCACTGACTGCTCTTGCAGAGGACTTGGGTTTGATTCCCAGCACCCACAAGGAGACTACAAACCGTCCTTAACTCCAGTCTCAGGGGAATCCGACACCCTCTTCTGACCTTCGTGGCATTGCACAACACAGGTGCACTCACATACATGCAGGCAATGCACTCATACACACAAAATAAAAGTAATAAATAAAATATTTTAAGGAGAGAAGAAGGAAGGAGGAGGAGGACAAGGAGGGGGAGGGGGAGGAGGACAAGGAGTGGGGGGGGCAGGAATTTGTGCCCTGTGCTCAGACGTGAAAGAAAGAATCCTAGCATTGTGAATATTCCTGCCCATACCCTGTGACCACCATGACCAGGTCTGTGACTGGGGCAGCACTCCCAAGACAAGCCATGCCCTCTCCCCAACAGCTTCCTAGGCCATCACTGCTCTCCAAGCTGCCCAGGTGGCAGTGTGGACAGTTATGAAGGGGCAGGTTCCTCTGGATGGATACATGAATGTGGGACATGGAGGGCAGCTAGGGCAGAGGAAGGGGACAGAATATTATTGATCCCAGGGAGGCTGAGGAGGCCCCAGAGTTTCAGTGGAGTTGGAGATGAGGGCAGAGGGTCTTACCACCTGGGTAGAGTTTGACCTTTGACCCTGCTATTCTGCTGGGACCACACCCCACTTACACTCCCCTCCCTCCTGGAGAGCTTGTCCTCTGCCAGGGCAAAAGCTTGTGTGTATGTGCAGGCAGCTGGGATGTTCGGTGAGGAAGGGCAGAGAGGACGGAAGAGGAGAAGGGGCTATAGTTAAAGGGCCACTGTAGACAAGTGCAAGCTCCAAGATGCGGTGGGAAGGCTCAGCAGCAGCCCTGGGGCTAACCCTCTTAGTGTCCTGTGACCACTAAGAACAAAGTACAACAGCCACTGCAGCGACTGAGGGGCTGACAGCCAAGGGGCTGACAGCCGAGGGGCCACATTCCCCATGTATTGCACTTGCCTGGGTGTGTGAGGAGAGGGGTCCAAGAACCCCAGGTTTCAGGCTGAGTACCTGGAAACTGGATCAGGACAGGAGCTCAAAGAGGTGTCCATGGCAACAGGAGGTTGGGGAGAAAGCCTAGCTGGTGATGGAAGGCTAGCATTATGGATATAAAGAAGGTACTCAAGGGTCAGCAAGATGGCTCAGCAGGTAAAGGTGCTTCTAACCTGATTAACTGAGGTCATCCCTCAGATCTGCATGGTAGAGGGAGAGAACTGACTCCCATAGGTTGTCCTCTGACCTCCATTCAGTTTGTGGGAGGCACACTCACACATGCACACATACACAAAAAGTGCTCAAGCACTCAAAAGCAAGAGACAGCAGGAAGAAAAGCAGGAGCTCCAAAGCCAGAGCCCAGCACTTCCAGAAAAGTCCTCAAGTGCAAAGGGGAGAAGCGGCCATTAGAGGCCAGAAAGACACAGGGTTCCTGGACGGAAGGTGACTCAAGGAGGAGGGAGTGGTCGGGAGGGAGTCCCAGGGGTGGGACCAGTGCCACCAGCCAGCTGGGGCAGAAGCATTGCAACATGTCATTAGGTCACAGTGTCCTTTACCAAGGTCGGGTGGAGTGGGGCCCGAAGCCTCTCTGGATAGGGTTCAAGCCCCAAAGGACAGCAATAGAGAGCTGTTCTAGCTTGCTTCTGGTTGCAGTGACAAACA